CCAAGGGCATCCAAACAGTATGCCACAGACATTGACTCCGATGAAGAAGGAGAAGAGGGATTCCAAGGAATCCCAACAAGCACAAGTCCAGACAACCCTACAGTTGAAGAGACGGCACCAGCAGTGGATACCAATGATGGAAACCTCGCTGGGCCAGCCAAGGCTTCCAAGCTTCCTCGAGTTGGAATTAGACGCTCAGCTCGGATTGCCACAGCCGAAGCAAAGAAAGGAGTGACCTTCGTCCAAGATGATGAAGCGAAGCAACCACTACTGTATGAGACAGAGACAAGCAAGCACCTAGCTTTGTTCATGGACTCCTGCAATCACAGGAGTGCCACAGCAGAAGTCAAGGATGAGAGCAGCCATGCCCAACAGCATCTTCTACCCAAGGGTCTGAAAGTGTGGGGCAACAAAGCCAGAAAGGCGGCGCTCAAAGAGATGGACCAGCTCCACAGCAGAGTCTGCTTCAGTCCTGTCGACCCAAACAAATGCAGTGATTCTGAATTGAAAAAGGCACAAATGGCACTCATGTTTGTGAGTGAGAAAAGGGATGGCACGGTCAAGGCCCGTGCAGTCTACAATGGGAAACCTACAAGGGTGTACCATCAGAAAGAAGATGCCAGAAGCCCAACAGTTTCACTTGAGGGTTTGATGTTATCCATGTGTGTCGATGCATCCGAGGATAGGGATGTGATGTCCCTGGATGTTCCCAATGCGTTCATCCAAACCCCAATGCCAAAAGTCAAACAAGGTGAAGACAGGGTCCTCATGATCATTGAGGGAACCCTTGCAGACTTACTTGTCGAAATTGATCCTGACACATATGCCTCTTTCCTGACATACAAAAAGGGACGACCAGTCCTCTATGTCGTTGTGGAAAGAGCCATCTACGGAATGGTTTTGGCAGCACTGCTTTGGTACAAGCTCTTCAGGAGCGACCTGGAGGGAATCGGATTCGTATTCAACCAGTATGATCCGTGTGTTGCCAACAGGATGATTGAAGGATATCAGCAGACGATACGCTTCCATGTGGACGACCTGATGTCGAGCCACCGGATGAAACTGGTAAACAATCGAACCCTGGAGTGGTTCAACGACAAGTACGGTACCTATGGAGCCGTGAAGGCAACCCGTGGTCCCAAGCATGACTACTTGGGGATGACGGTGGACTTTTCCGACCCAGGCAAGGTAGTCATTGACATGATTGACTATCTTAAGAAGATGATCTTGGAGTTCCCGGTGGACTTCGAGCAAATGAAGAAGGTGTCCAGCGCGGCACCTGCCGATTTATTCAGTTCTGGTGATGGAGCTGCTCTGGATGACAAGACCAGAGAAATTTATCACATGAACGCAGCCAAGCTGTTGTTCGCGTGTAAGAGAGCAAGACCAGATGTTCAAACATAACAATTGTTCTCTGACACGTGTGAGGAATCCCACATTGATGACTGGGGCAAGTTGATCCAAGGATTGAAGTTCCTGGACCAAACAGTGGAGGACAAGTTGATACTCCATGTTGATGATATCCGTGTCATCACTTGGTGGGTGGATGCATCATTTGCAGTCCATCCTGATTACCGTTCCCATACAGGAGGAGTCATGTCCTTTGGAAGAGGAGCGGTGTTGTCGGAATTTTCTCGAAACAGAAGCTCAACTCAAGAAGCAGCACTGAAGCGGAGCTGATTGGTGCAGACGACGTCATGTCCCCAATGTTGTGGGCCAAGTTGTTCCTTGAAGAGCAGGGGATCGTTGTCAAGGACAACATTCTCATGCAGGACAACAAGAGTACAATCATTCTCGCAGAAAACGGCAAGGGCAGCTCGGGCAAGAGGACTCGGGGCATTAACATCCGTTTCTTTTTTATTCACGATCAGATTGGAAAAGGCAACCTTAGAGTTGTATATTGCCCAACTTTGGAGATGCGTGGAGATTTTTTCACAAAGCCCCTTCAGGGCAGACTCTTTCATGAGCACAGGGCTTTCATCATGGGGCATCCACCCCTTGTTTGATTTCCTAAATTATTTATTCGTTCCACGGTAGCCACTTAGGGCACCGTGCAGGAGTGTGTTGGAGGAAATATACCTGACACCTCTTTACTATTGACTCGTGTATTAATCATCTAGTCCGGTTCGCATGCAAATTCATCATGCAAGGAACCAAGGGAGTTTTAGGTCTAAAGTGTTGCGGGGGTCCTTATATCCAATTCAACCACAAGAATTGCTATGCACCACCAGAAAATCCTCACTTTTGCTTTTCAGCTTAATCTAAAACCAAATTACTCCCCAATAAGCTGCAGTATTACTAGCAAACAACAGCATCTACACTCGTTCGTTCCCGCATAGTCCCGGAATTCTACAAGGTTCCGGGGGAGCAATCGAATTACGAGAACTCGTACCTCTACACTGACTTCAGTCGCGTTCCAATGAGAACTCGAATCTTCCGTACCTCTACTGACATACTCGAAGAACCCTTCCAGATGATCTCGAAGGCTAGCGCTTGAATACAGGCAGCGCTAAAGCGTAAATAAATACCTGCATACACACACCAGTACGTGCAAATTAGTGATGGGTGTCACCAACTGCTCGAACTCGAGAATCACCATGATTCGAGAGAACCTGCAGAGTTGTTCGGCAATGGGGGAGTGATGAAATGGTATATATACCAGGAAATTGCCTCCAGTGTCACGGAGACCAACATGACATATTTTTAAGATAATTACGAATTCATGGGGAGTCACAGACTGTGTAGGTTTGAAACCTAGTCCCAGTAGGCTGCAGTCACAGATGTGCAGAAAGCCTGCCTCACTCGATTTTTAATTCAAAATGAAAGAACCAGTCAAATGCAACTAAAAGATTTACGAGCTAAAGCGAAAATGGAAGGGGGGATATATGACAAATCAGGGGGGTTATGAAGTGGATAAATAGGGAACTTGGGGAATATCAAATTTAGGAATTGGGGGAATAACAAACTTAGTGGGGTTAAACTTTCTTCTTGTTAACACTGGGGTTGGGGGTAATTCTGAGTCGGGGAGGGGGCTAGTTCTGCTGCTTTTCTTGGAATACTGGGGTTGGGGGTATTTCTGAGCAACTAGTTCAGCCTCAGCCCTGCCAGGTAGTACTACTACTAGGCTCCGAAGGGAGGGCAGCTGACATCCTCATTTGAAGCTCGTGACAGACGAACCTAAATAGCTCTTCTTTTTCATACCCCAAAGGGTTGTCTTCTTTAGATGGTAGCTCTGATGACAATCTTGCCTCGCTGGAAACAATATACGCATGCAACAACGGAGCTGACACCTCCCGTACCAAATCATGCACTGCTAGCTGAAGGTCAGGGATTCTCCTAGATACCTTGCCACTCTTCAGAACTGACTGCTTCTTGAATTGCACCCAGAGCATCTGATCTTCTGGCCTCTTGCTCTCTTTAAGATTCTTCTGGATTGTGGCAACATCTTTCAATTGATATTCTTTATTAAAGAAGGCAACGTCAATGATCTATTCCAACTGAACCAGCTCGTTATCATCATTATCGAGAGGCGCGAAGTACTGAGCAGAACATGATTCCTTACCCGAGGCAATCCTTCTCCTGTCAGCTTTCCGAATCTGATAACAACAATCGCCAGTGAGATCATAACACAAAAAAGGGAGAGAGGGGGGAACAATGAATGGGGATAGGCACCTTCTTCTTCCGCGTGTTACTCGTTTTGTTTACTTTCGATTTCTTTTGAGCCCCCCAGTGATAGAGGGACCAACATGGGATCTCTTGGCAGTCTTTGGGTCTTCAACCGTCTTTTCTGAAGCTTTGCTCTTCTTTGCTACTGGTCCTCCCTTTTTCATACAATAGTGTGGGGTGTGAGTGGCAGAATCATTTTGGGACAACGACAGTGAGTAGAGCACACACCTTCTTCTTCTTCTCTGGCACCCCAACGGATGTCTCCTATGCAGGAAATCAACAAATTTAGTATGGGGCTGTGGGGAGGTATGAGGGGGGGGGGTATGGCAAGAAAGCACACATTTGCAACAGGGACTTTCTTCGTCTAGGGATCGAATGTTCACAAAACCAAAAAGTAAAATGTTAGACAGGAGCTGGGGTGGAGTTACAATGTTGCATCTATCTCAGAACATACATTCACGGCCTTGCCCTTCTTTACAGACTTCTCTTTGACTGGCTTCTTCTTCTTTTAGGGAACACCAAAAAAACAAATGCAAATGAGAGAGGCATGCGAGTCGAGCTATGGGGGTGGGGGTCAAAAGTTTCAACTGCAAACTAGCCTTTGCAGCTTCGGCTTCCAAAGCAAGACGCACAAGAAGACGCTTGTGCTCATCCTGTGATTCCTGATTCTGGGCCTGGCAGCAGCGCGTTCAGCATAGGCCATACCGATAAGTAGTCCCAATGTTTGTTGAGGTCTGCAGGGTTAGTAGATCCAGGGATATGATGGAATTCAAGATACTTGCAGCACAGCTTCCCTAGTACGGTGGTAGGAAAGGCATTGTGTCTTTTGAGAATCTTTGAGTGAGGCATCGACGCGGTGTTGACTACCGTCTCGTTGTCTCCGAACATCATGGTCGGTGTGTCAACCATTACTCCCAGATTCAATCTCCACCCGCCACTCTCCCTGACGCCCCCTCCTGCAGTCTCTGCTTCTCTCTTCAGTTGGTTTGCTTCGACCGCACACCTTCACTCATGCGTCTCCTCGTCATGGCCCATTCAGTCCCAATCGTGCCCCACCCACAGCCCTCTAAAACACTCCCTCCGTCAAGACAAAAGACTACGGTATCGAAAGACTAGTAGCTAGGAATCAAAAAGACCCATTGGAACCTTTTCAGCAGCTTTGTCACAACAAACGCTGCTAGAGCAGAACGACACATGCATCCTACATTATTATGTATACGATATCGAGAACCTGGAATCCCATTTTGTTCTTGCTGTCATGCACGGGGATTCACTGCAAGCAGCACGAAACATCAAATCTGCCTAAAAGGGACAACCAGGGGGCTTTGCCTTGATCACTGACAAACACAAACATCACAGCTACATTCCACCAATTCACAATCGACATGAATGCCTCCATCCACCTCAACATCGTCAGGCCAAGTTGTCTGGTTGCATAGAGTAGGTGGAATTGTACCGGAGAGGCCACTGTTGTTGTGGAGCCAAAGAAGCTTCAGCTTCTCCAGCAATCCAAGAGATGAAGGCACAGCCCCAGTCAGCTGGTTCTCAAACAACCGAACCTGTTGCAAACCAGCCACACCACTAATGGCACTCGGGATCACCCCAGATAGTTGATTGGCTCCAAGATTCAGGTTCACCAAAGAACTCAGCTCTCCAATCTCTGTAGGAATCATGCCTGTGAGCCTATTCTCAGCCAAGAAGAAAACCGTAAGGTTCTCCATGAGTCCCTGTTTTGCAGTTAAAGTCAGAGTCAGAGGAGAAAAGCAAGAACATGCAACCCCCATTTCTTGTCAACTTACAATCTCAGATGGTATGGAGCCACGTACTCTGCTGCCAGCAACCTCAAATGTGGTAACTGTGCTGAGCAGCCCCAGCTCCGTGGGCAGTGTTCCCGAAAATGGATTCCACCAGCTGGCAAAAAGATCGAGCGAGGTCCACTGCCCCACCTCAGCAGGAATTGCGCCAGAGAGGTGATTGTTTCCTAATATAAAAGATCGTAGGAGACTAAGTTGACCCAACTCGGATGGCAGCATTCCTGAAGTTGTAGTGTTGTGAAATTGAAGAGACAAAAGGTCAGACATCTACCTACCCCTTGGCTTTCCGAGGACACATTGACTCCCATACCTGTGAGTTGGTTGTTGTGGACTTCAAGAGTATCCAGCACAGAAAGGCTGCCTAGCTCCGTGGGTATAGTGCCGTTAAGCAGGTTATTGGCGACCCCAAGATGAACCAAGTCGGTCATCAGCGCAAGCTCTGTGTGGAGGCATTTCCGTAAAGTAAGACACAACATGTAGAAGCATGAACACACAAAGAAACAATAACCCACCTGATGGAATTGCGCCAGAGAGATTGTTTCCTAATATAAAAGATCGTAGGAGACTAAGTTGGCCCAACTCGGATGGCAGCATTCCTGAAGTTGTAGTGTTGTGCAATTGAAGAGACAAAAGGTCAGACATCTACCCACCCCTTGGCTTTCCGAGGACACATTGAATCCCATACCTGTGAATTGGTTGTTGTGGACTTCAAGAGTATCCAGCACGGAAAGGCTGCCTAGCTCCGTGGGTATAGTGCCGTTAAGCAGGTTATTGGCGACCCCAAGATGAACCAAGTCGGTCATCAGCGCAACCTCTGTGTGGAGGCATTTCCGTAAAGTAAGACACAACATGTAGAAGCATGAACACACAAAGAAACAATAACCCACCTGATGGAATTGAGCCTGTGATTCCGTTGTTCCCAACTGCAAATCCAGTGAGCTTTGACAAGCCGAGCTCTGTGGGAATTGTGGAAGAAAGAAGATTCTGCTCTACTGAAAAAAGTCCAGGCCACTGAAAAGCAACTGAAGATTTGTGGTTTTGTGCAAGGTGTCCACAGAAACAGAAAGGATGGTGAGTTGTCAGAAAAGGACTGTGGTTGAAAGCTATGCTCTGGCTGCTACTACTATACGGGCACTCAACTTGACTCACCATTTGGCACACTGCCCGTGATAGCATTCTGCCAGATGGAAAATTTCTCCAACTTTGATAGAAATGCCATCTCCGGTGGTATAGGCCCTGTGATTAAATTTGTGTCCAGCAATACCTGTCTTAGTTCTGTAAGCAGACCCACTTCACTAGGAATTTGGCCTGGGAGATTCAGAGTCCAGTAGGAGAAGAGTCGAAGGTTAGCTGGTTGGAGGGAGCAGTCAAGCTCAGAATTCGAGACTTGCCTGAAAGAAGATTAACTATCAGAAAGAGTACCTTCAGAGGCAATAGCCCAATTTCCGATGGAATGGTACCATCAACTGAGGTGGAATACAAATCCAGTTCCTCCAACCTGGTCAGCTGGCCAATATTTGCTGAGATTGTGCCTGTAAGGTCATTGCGGTCCAGTGATATGCTTTTGAGATTTGTGAGCAAGTACATTTCCTCTGGAATCTGCCCATACATGCCATTGTGATTAAGCCACAGGTGCTCATACTGCTGGTCCTTGCAAGGGACTCCATCAATGGGACCTGTTACGGACTCGTTGACAAAAAGAGGGCGGGGCACAGTAAAAGCAAGAGGGATGAACCCATACGTGTTCTTAGAGAACCAGTCACATTCATGCACATCATTATAAGTGAGCCAGTTGTCCTTTGCATCCCACTGCGAACCGCCGGAGGAATAGTAGAAAGTTGCCAGGGCAAAGCGCTGTACAATCCTCTCGTTGGTGTAGTTGCTGAGGTTTGGATCCTGTCGAACCCATTTGTAAGCTTTTTGCTGGGGTGTAAATGCAGTGGAGTTCATCAGATCTGTTACGTCAATATCACGCAGAATACCCTGGGCAGTCGAAGCTGGGAGGAGGTTCAAGACATGCTCTCTGATGTCCTCGACAGTAGTCTCATTGGCGACAGTAGTCTCATTGGCGACAGTCTCAGCAGCACCTTCATCACTGTCTCCCTCCTTGTCTTGATTGACAGCAATAGGCACCGTCACAGCAACAATAATCGTGACCAAAAGCAACCCCACTCCGATCAATTGAAAGAGACTCCTTTTCCTTTTCATGGCAGCTGAGTGCTCCCTTTCTTGGAGATCCACCGCTTGGGCTTGTGGGCGATGATCTTCACCCGCTTCATTTACTGGGCGAGCAATAGCCATGTTTGCATCTTCTAAAGTCAGGCCTGTTGTTTGTTCTTGTTGAGCTTCTTCGTCATGGTTTCCCCTAGAGGGAGAAGGCCCCTCTCTAGTTGATTCCATGTTGCCTGCATTAGGTCCCTGTACGTTGAAGGCGCCTGGCCTTGAGGTAACTCCAACATTGCCGCCACGAGAGAGCTGGGTAGGAGCGACATTTGTTTCAGTTGTAGTTTGCCCTTGGGCCATCATCTCATGCTGAGGATCTGGGCTTGCATTGTCGTCACCAACTGCTACGTCAATGGTTCCTGTTTCCAGGTTTTTTGGAGAGCCAGATGCCATTCCTTTTGCCTCAAGTCTTTCCCTATTCTCTGAGGTGGAATTGTTGGGACCTTCTCCTGCGGCCAAATTGTTGTCGTCTTCTAAGACGCGGCACTCCCTGAGTACCGAAACTCTCATGTCTTTCATGAGCCCTGCCTCCTCGTCAGCCTTTGATTCCTCCTTCCACTCTGTCATGGCAGGTGGAACTCTGTCGCTTTCCTTGGTTGTTGCCGTGGCCCCATCCGATGCTTTGATGGCAGCCTGATCGTCAGCTTGGTCTTCCTCTTCCACGAGAATCTGGCATTCCTTGAGCACTGACACCCTGATATCTTTCATCAGCCCTGCTTCTTCGTCCCCTCCAGAGGACCGTCTACCGGTACCGGTACCGGTACTACTAGAGTCCATTTTGCTTGCTCGTAAGGTAGCCCTTCGTTGTTACTTTGTTATAACTTCTCGACTGAGTGGTCTTTCTTTGATTTTGATGATCTCTTGAGCATAAACGTTGGCTGTTCACGTAGTGAAGCTTCGCGCGAAAAGGGTCATCTGGAGCCCCGATTCCTCACTTTTGTTCTTTTCTTGGATCGATCTTGTGAAGAAGCAGCAGTCCAAGAAAAGAAGAAGCAGGTGTGCCGACCAATCCAAGAAAAGAAGAATACCCGCTAGCTAGCTACGGTAGCTAGTACCAGTAGTAGACGTTTTGCCTTTTCTGAAAAACAACGGCAAGGGTGACACACAGCTGACAGGATCGTTCCTAACCACCCATTATTTGTTCCTCCGTGCGTACGCGAAATCAAGACTGGGGGAACCCACACTCGGAGCCAGTGAGGTAAGCACAGGAACCGGAACAATAGCCGTGGAACAGTTGAACCTAGAGAAGTAGTGCTGCTGCGCGCGCTGCGGAGCATTAGTGTCACTACGTGATTCTTTTGATCAGAATAGAGTTAACGGGTTTTAAAAGGCGCTGCTGCGCTGCGGAGCATTACAGTCTACTCGCGCTAATATTTATAATATTATATTTATCCTCGCTGTAATATTTATTAAATCTCGAGGTCCCCCCTCAGTCCCGGGTATCCGTGAATGAATCTTTCGAGCAGCAACAAATCTTTCGAGCAGCCCGACAACGTCGTCCAATCCATTCCAACCGTTTCAATTTGACCCAGACAGCATGTAAAATGCCAATATCGATCCAATGGAGGTGGGATTCCTTGCACCTCTGCCCGTGGCTGTCTTGTCTGGGCCAGCCCAAGCGCTGGTTGTTTACGTGCAGTTTTCGAAGGATGGTTTCGAGGAGACAAAAACAATTCTCCTGAGCTGCCAAACAATTTCACCCAATGACGAGGAACCGGAACAAATGGAGGATGATCCCGAACCAGCCGATGTGTTTGCCTCATTTGTGGAAGCTGAAGAAGCACTCAATAAGCTGTCCGAAAGTGCCTCTGCTTTGGGTATCAACCAGGCAGCCACTGTGCATCTTGACAGGTTTGCTAGGGCATTGAATGTGGCTAGGGCTGCTAGGGCAGGCAAACGTAAACGCGACGGCTCTATCCATTCGTACTTTACTAGTGGAACCGGCCCTTGAAAGCCTTATATTTATTCTCTCTAATATATTTATCGAAATCCGCAATCCCCCCATAAATAATAGAGCGAGTCAACTGTAGTGTCACTACGTGATTCTTTTGATTAGAGTGGAGTCACAGAACATGGAAATAGTGTTTTGGTTGCTATAGCGTTGTTTCTGGTAAGCACTGAATTCTGCAGTTTCTGGCTTGTGGCCAGATTTGGTGGATCCTTCTTGAACATTAAAATAAATCTGGCCACTGGCCAGAAATAATAACCCTAACCTTTATCTACTTCAAATAACCATTCATTGCTACTATTTATTGGAAATGAATTTTGTGTCCATAAATTCCAAATGTGGAAACCGAAAAGGCAAAGAGAAAGATATGGTGATAGAGTTAGAGGTATAAATAAGTTAGACAAAGGAGCTGACTAAACTCATGTATAAGGTAGGTTTAAAATCCGTCCACTGGCCAAAAATTACTGATTTGAACATTCCAAGCAATCATCAATTGGATCACAGGTTGAACTTACTAACTAACTAACTAACTGAGATTGATGGAAAAGGTAGGTGACAAATCCGTCCACCACTGGCCAGAAATTACTGATTTGAAACCTACCTTACACATGAATAGCGAGAAACATTCTGTTCAATTCTGGCCACTGGCCAGAATCAAACCTGTCCACTGCCAAGAAACATCACATATGATTTCTCTTCGGGTCCAAACCTGGTCTTTCCTCCTGCACGTAGATAGCGTGCAGCTGGGCAACGACTGTTCGGTCGCTGACCCTTGCCACGTCTGCGTCACACACCGAGTATACGTTGTACACAGATAGCCTCTTCCCATCCTTGCAGGACAGCACCGTCCTTGTCCATTTGCCAAGGTAATTGGCTTCCGCCTCTACCACTCTTCCATCAGTTCTCCCCATTACTACCGAAAGTGTTCCACCTAGTTTGTACTCTCGTAGATGCACCTGAGGGGTGGATCCAAATGTTACCTTTTTGTGGTCAAAGGCCTTGCGGACTGCAGCGTGGATCTTCTTTCTGACGTTTGGTTGGTTCGTATCAAGGTTGGCTTCCTGAAAGCCAGCATAATCACATCCCAGCATCCCTAGTGTCTTGCAGTCTTCGTAAAGCTCGCCGCCATCGGCATCATACAAAAAATTCTCTCTTATTGTTGAAGAGGAAAGGTGCCACATGAGCTGGCTTTCTTGCCTGCATTTTGTCTCCGATTGGCTCGTTGTTGGCCAGCAGTCCTTTGATGTTGTCCCAAATCCCGAATTCCACTTCCAGTTGTGATTCGAGCGCTCCATTTGTGTTTCCACCTCCAAGTGAGTCCCATAGTACGGCCTGTGCCGGAGGAGCCCAGCCCATGTTTAACTACCCCGCCCACCAGTTGGTCCATTAGAACCCTGGTTGGGTGGGGGTTGAAATATGGGTTGGCCAGGCTGGTAGGTGCCTGCTCCTGGGTGCGAACCCATTTGGTAGGGTGGATACTGTGGCACAGCCATTACTGAAGCTGTGTAGGCTTGGCCCCCCCTCCAGGAGGTTGTAAGTGTCTGGAAGCTGGAGGGTTGGAGGGGGTGGCACTGGCATCAGAAGGCCTCTGCATATTCAAGTTTGCAAACATTTGCATCATCTGTTGGTGCTGGGTTGCGAGCCCTTCCTGGAACCTCTTCTCTGATTCCTGTTTGTCCTTTGCCATCTGCTCCATGACATCCTTATTGCTTTTGATGAGGGCATCAACGGTTGCTGCCTGGGTCTTTAGCTTTGCTTCCAAAGACTCTTTGACCTGCTTCAGCTCTTGTACCTGTCCAGCAGTTGCCACTCCACCTATGGTTGCAGGGGCTGAGCTCCCTTGAGCTGGAATGGCTACATTGGATGGTGGTGCTGTGTGTTCATTCCAAGTCTTCACCTTGTCTGCCCAGGTGGCCACCACAGCATCAACAGGAGCTAGGGATGCGTTATCTTGGAACATTGTTTGAAAGGTCCGACTGCTGTAGGAGTACTCATCCCATGAGTCATTGCGGGGCGTTGTGGGACTTCTTGTGATGATAGAGGATTGTTCGCCCTGGAAGCAATAGTCTTGCGAGAAGATGTCACTTTCGAATTCGTGTTTCAAGGCAGTCATCACCTTCTCTTTGTCTGCTTTGTTGCAAATGGCACAGTACCTCCCAGTTGTAGCTGTTGACTTGTGCTGTTCCAAATCCAACAGAAGTTTTCTGCTGAAGGGATTGACAATCTTAGTCAGCAGGTGCTAATTTCATCTTCAAACTCTGGGTTCAGGTCTTGGAGTGGCACACCAGTAGATGCTTTGATGACCTCTTTGTGTTGAATGATTGCCTTCTTCATTGGATCCCCAAACTCTTTCTTCTTACTGAGTTGAGTCAACTTGGTGCTTAGCAGATCCAGTTCCGGGTGTTGTATTTCCGGATGCTTGGATATCTTCTTCAAGAGGCCCTCGATCTTTGGGCGGTCAGTGATTCCCACCTGGGCCCCAATGATATCAAATTTCTTATTGTCCACTTTGACTTTCGAAGTGACAACTGCAATGGGGCAGGTGATGGACGGCCGTTGTTGCCTGAGCCAGTCAGAAAGGCGGATGCGGAGGCCCTGCCGGTATGTCTTTGAGGATTCTTGCCTGGGATATAGCACACAGGAGCAACCAGACTCTCAATCAGATCATGTGGGTGCATGAAGATGTCATTGTTAGTTAAGAAGGGAATGACTCCCGCTATCTTTTTCAGTGAGTGAACACTGTCATAGTGATGGCTCTGTACATAGAAGGAGGCAGCAAAGTGGCCTCTGTTGTCTTTGGGATTACCCCATGCCATTTTCTTTGCATTCATCATGGTCTCCAATTCATCGACCGTTATCTCTTCCAGGATCTCCAAGGAGTGACCTTGACCATCTATATCTCCATCTCCTGCATGGTCAGCAAACCAGATATCCTTGTCTTCCTCAGAGTTCAGAAGGGTGAGTAACTTCATAAAGTCTGCCAGTGGAAAGTCCTCAATCAGTGGCATCATTGTTTCCAGCCTGACTCCAAAGAAGTAGACTGCATCACTCGGCTCTCCCTCCTCAGCATCCTCAAAGCCATCCTCATCATCATTGGAGTTGTTTCTGTCTCCGTGTTGGTCATCCGTGCCTTGATCTCTTTGAGTTCCCTCCTCATTGCCTTCTCCAACATCCATATCCTGACCCTCTGTCCGTGAGGCAGCTGCCTCATTTTGCTTGGATTCCTGAATGGCGAGGTTCTGGACTGGTACAGTTGACTGGTGTTTGGATCTTTTGTTGCTCTGAGATCTGTCATATTGATGAGAGCCAGTTGACATGTTAGCTGGATTGCTGGTTCTGTCTCCTGCCCCAACCACTTGATCTCCACTGTTTGCTTTGGTGTCTTCGGAGTTGGCTCTTCCCCTATCCACATCTTCTCCTGTGGCAAGGGGATCAGTTGCCTCACTTTGTTTGGACTTATCGATATCCATAGTTTCCACATCCTAATCGGTTGCTAGCTTCAAAGACTGATGACCAGATTGGTTGCTGGTTTGGGCATCAGAAGGAATGTAACCCATGGCAGATAGCTTTTCCCTTATCTCTGAAGGCAGTGGACAGCGTCGCCTCTGCAGCTCTTGAACTGATGTCTTGATAGCCTTCTCCTTTGAGGCACCTTTGGGAGGGGGGCATGGATTCAAATGTGCTAGTTCCGTTTCCAGGTAGGAGGTCTTCTTTGCACCATCCTCTTCCTGTTTGCAGTAGTCACAAACTGGATCATCTGGTCTGGAATGGCAAAGCGGTTGCAGTGACATCGTCTTGGATTGACTTGGAATGCTGATGGGGCATAATTGGCAGTTTCGGTAGTTTGTTGGGAGCTGGTGTCTCTGTGTTGGCCTACATGAGAGGCCCCTGAAGATGGCTGGTGTGCAGTGTTGGTACGAGGTTTCTTCATGCTGGGATTGGCTGTTTGTCCAGTTGCTACAGCATCAAACATTGGAGCTAGTTCCTTGACTGGGAGCATCGCTTCTTCATCTTGAAAGGACTCACCACATGAGTTGCAGTAATGACCAGGAACGGCATCATCCTGTGTACCAAAGAGTTCTGTTGTCTCATCATGGCAGGCCATTGTGGTGGCTTCCATTGTTGCACTGCATTTTGGACAGTGACTTGGATTGAGTGTATTCGTGGCAGCTTCCCAGCTGGTACCCACAGTGATCTCATCAGCCATCTCTAGTCCTTGAGCCTCTTCTTGTAGGTGCCTGATTCCCTCTGCAATTTCTTCCTCTGTGTGGATGTTGGTCTCTATCGATCCTTGAGGAGCTGTGCTTGGTGACAACAGCATGGATAGGGGTGATGTTGGGCGGGTGTCAATAGCCAAGGGACCTTGCAACGGAATGAATTGCCTGCAACTGCTGCAATAGTGATGAGTAGGATCAGTACTAGCTGTCGTGCCAAGGAAATCTGCTGTCGAGTCACTCAGAGAAAGCACCTGTGGAGTTACCGGGACACTACAATTTTGACATACAACTTGCATTGTTGCCAGCTTCGAAGGAGAAACATCCGTGTCAACCACCTCGACTGGGACTAAAATAGAGGGGAATTACGCTACGGGGTAGATTTTCATTAGGGTTGAGGGTGATCTCGATGTGGAAACGTGACCACATCTCGCACTCCCTCATCAACCGAGAACCATCTCATAATCGTAGCGAATTCGTACTCGAACTGCATCTCGTCGCTTCGTTGTAACAGTACTAAATGTAACATAGAATGGGGCCGGTTCCCCTTTGTATGTTGTCGTAGTCAATCGGTGTTCTTTGTGAGGTCTGGTTTGTTTTCAATGCGATGACGAGCACTGATACACTCCATTAGCACCTCGATGTCGTCATTGCTCACTCCAGGGTAGAACTCCATGTAGTGGTACTGAGTTAATCCCTTGTATGTGTCAGAAGGGGTGCTTGCTTCGTGTCACCATAGCTCGTCCCGCAGTGATGAATTCAGCTCCAGGTTGGTCTTGGCCAAAGCTCTGGTTGGGTGCAATCTCAATCTCCACGGTGGGTAGACCAGCAAACTTCTTTTTCGGTAGTTTGATAGAAGAGACACGTCCACGCAGAGTGTGTATGGGGGCAGTGCCATCGACACCCACACGTCAGAGCCCATCACACAGGCCACTGACTTCAGATTGGTTGCCGAAACTGCCACCTCTGATCCAACTGGCATTGGATGTGTTTGGTGCAAAGGTAACCCGCTTAATTGGGGTTCCCCCGTCAGCAAGGGTGACACGCTTGATCGGGGTTCCCTCGTCGTCACCTCCATCGTATCCATCATCCACGATAATAGGGTGGCATGCGTCCTTCCCATCAGGTTTGGAACTTGGCTTGGAATCCGAGTCATCGTTGGAATCAAGATCTTTACCACCATTTCCTTTGTCGCAACCCGAGCTTTTTCCACGGCGTCGTCCTGGGCATGGTCCCCCGCTGCCGCCACCTCTGCTTCCTCCGCCTCTTGGTCCAGAGATGCCTCCACATCGTCGACTACGCCCAGGTAGGTCAGTAGTGTCTTCACCATCGCTCGTGCCGATGAAATTAGCAATAGGAGCCTCTATGGGTGCGCCACAGCTGTGCTGGTTTAGTCGGAAGGAAACAATGCTTTTCATCGTGTACAGTCAATCAGTACACACAGCATTGCAGCCATGTGACAATTTGTATATAGCTGAGGCATGCCTATGTGTTGCAGAGCATACATAGTCTTCAGCCTAGATACATTGGAATGTTCCAGACCAACAGTCCTCTCCTAGGATCTCCAACTGTGGATATCCTCTCCAAAAGAGCCAGTTCTGTCAACTGGAGTGAAATCGTGGTAATGTTGTTTTAGCTTATAGTAAGAAAGATAGTAATGAAAGAGTAACCCTGAGACCCAGTAGCACCGTCAGCCCTGGAGTAGATAGAATCCTGTGTGGTATGTGCTAGGGCAATGTAACCAGCTCCCCAAGTACTCTGAAGCAGTGATTGGGTAGCATTGAACCAGCTCTCTTTGAGCTGGCCTTTCAGCCAGTGGAGGAGATCTCCATCACTAGAGATCTCCCTCCCAGCTCTTGTGTTCCTACAACTGAGTTTCCTGGCGGAGATTCATAGGATTAACATAGCCGCATAGCAAGCGACACAAGAGTGGCTTCCAGTGAAGAAGAGTGGAAGAGTGGAAGAAGGATTGCCGACAGTGGATCCGGATCAAAACCGACGCCGAAAACTGGAATCGCGACCGTTCGAGGAGCTATCCAGGTCAAGGGTGGCCGACAAGTTGGTAACCTCGCCTTCTTGTTAATCGGAATAGTTCCGGCTGCCGACTAGCGGAAAGCAGCGGCAGATCCCCATTGTCGATCTTTCGTACGGAATATCCCAGTCGTGCTTCTAGAGGATACTGGCCACAACGAACCGGTACTCACAAGGGACTCACAGAACCGGTACCGTACCTCTTCCGAGTGACGTACTTCTCCGTACCTCTGTTCTGAAAGCAAGCCGAGCCGTAGTTCCACCCGGATCCTCACATTTTCGATCGAAACGGGAACTCCTCCAGTCAAGACTCAAGGAACCCGGAAAGCTTCGAAGATACCTCGCTCCATACGGATCGTTCAACAGCCTCTAAGGTAACTCGAGGACCACGGCGACACCTTTCTGACTGTTTCGAAGGAATCTAAGGGCACCAGTGTGTCAAGCAGCCTTCAATTGGTCATCCACCAACAGTGCAAGGCTTCAAGTCACCTTTTGGATTTTCTGTGCTTGTGTTTGTGCAGTGCCTCTCCAGCCACACATACACACCAACACCAACACCAACACCAACACCAACACCAACACCAACACCAACAATACTCATCCAACCGGTACCCTTCCAAGGAACAACAGGCAACACCACTACACTACCAATACACTACTGCACTGTCTAGCCAGCGCACCAATCATCATGGGCCGCAA